TGACCACATAGTAACAAACAGTAAAGAAAATCCCTCTTGCTTCATTTTAAGGCATTCTTGAAAGTCATTTACATTACAGTGTAATCCTGATTTTTCCACACAACTCTTCACACATTCTAATATCCTTTACCACCTGGATAAGTATCTTCTGCAAATGCATTATATGTCCAAACTCCAAATTATAAAATCTACTCAAACTTGATATAGAACTTTATTTTTCCTTATTCCCAAAGCTCAGCCATCACTTATTTACTGGAAATGAGTCACCCTACTTCTAACATCCAATGATAATTGCAGTGCTGATGATCCTTCTGACAAGTTATTGTTGGCTACTTTACAGCTATTGAAAGGATTTCCCTCTCTTGCGGCATAAAATAAAAAGACCAGAAAACACTCCTACTAACATGCCAGAAATTGTTACTTACATGCTGGAACCTGGTTCACTCCTGCCTTTGTTCCTTCCAGCTCTCCTCCTTTGCTGTCAACACACCAACAATCACGAAGTTCAAAGTGGCCTAAAGGAGCACTGAAATCAGTGTAGGGTCCTGGGTAGTAGCTGAGCTGGTCAGTCAGGAGCTGCCAGAACGTATATGGGTCCAGCAAAATGTTCTCTGATGCACTGGTCAGGTTTCCCTTCAGCACTTGAGGTGGGAGATCCGTGAAGGAGGAATACATGGAGAACGTAGGGAAGACGTTCTGGTGCCCAGCCTCATACAAAGCTTTAACAAAAGCTGAAAAGTCTCCAGAGGATGCCTCTTTATACCCAGCTATTATGTCCAATAGATCAGGAACGGGCAGGGGCTTGCCCTCGTTGTTCTCTGCAATCCACCTTTCGTACCACTCGAAGGCTTGCTCGGGAGGGCCACTGCACTGCACCTGCCTCCAGCCACCCGCAGCGTCACACTGTGGGAGGTGAAGGCTGGACAGCTGGGGCACAGCACCTGGATCTGACAACAGCAGCTTCACAGCCCTGAGAAACTCCTGACCAGCTGCTACTTGGCAAGCACTTGGGCCTGGGAAAAGAAAAACGTGCACATTTTCTGAATGCACTGAAGATATACAATACCCCTATCCTCTAGTACAATAAACATCACTACTGAAAATTGGTCACTCAGCCCAATAATAACAACAACATTCCTGGCCTGTTACTAAGAGGGCTTAGCAATATTAAGGTCCCATGCTGGACCAGGGCAAGATTTCCAAAGGGATGTGAGCCCTCCAAGATGAATACAGATACATTTTTTAAAATTTGTGAGTACATTAGGTACTTGGAGTTCTTACTGGGGGGGGCAGGTGTCACTAAATGCCTTCCTGAATCTGTTTACATAGATCAGATGTTTTCAGATGTACATGATAATCAGGTTGTTACTTGTTATTCAGCCAGTCAATGCAAAAGCAACCATCTGAATAGTGGGATAATACTGATTTTATTTCCCCTTGGATTGAACCCGAATCTTAATACTGTGTGTCCTCTCTTCCCACACTCTACTGCTGAATATAAAAATAACATCCCTCAAAATACTGGAGTGAGTTGGTTTGGAAGCCTCTTTTGTGATCTCCAGAGCCAAATTTTGCTTTGCCACCAAGCAGCTCTACAAACCCAGCCAACCATGGGAGCTCATCTTCTTTTGAGCACCAGAGAATTCTGAACTTTTTTATTTTGGATTGCACTACAGATGGGCTGTTAGACATAAATCCCCTCTCAGTTCAGATCATTACAAGTAACTCCACACTACTTCTGCAAACTACCATTCAAAACAGCTCCCTCACTATGCACCACTCTCAGCTGCTGAACATACTACTTCTGCAAACTACCATTCAAAACAGCTCCCTCTCTATCACCACTGTCAACTGCTGGACACTGCTATTTCTCCCAAAATGAGAAGCAGACTCTCCTCTTGGTCTATTCTCCCTGATGATGTGTTGTTGTCAGTTTACAGAAACTTGAAAGACAAATATTCACTGCCTTTGTGCTTCCGTCTTTCTTCCTATTCCAGAAAAGAAGGGCAAGGAGAGGCAGCTCACAGTCTATCAACCTGATGTCAGAAGTCATTTGCAGCTCACCTTTTTGGCCTGACTTTGTGACTTATGAGAAACCTACCAGCCATTAAATCCCCCTCCTATGTCTGGAGTCCTGTGACATCTTATCAATTTGAGGATATATTCTTGAACTCAAAAGACTAAATCAAGTTTAAGGCACTGAAAATCTTAAATTCTTATTAAAAGATGAGCCAGTGACCATGCCCAGGTGACTTGGTCTGGAAGTAAAAGGGCTTTTGCACTAGGCAGGAGTCCCATTCAGTTCCATGGATGCTCCAGGTCCCCTGGGCATCAGGAGCACACACTCCAGCTGCACACTGAGGTAGAGATATGCCAATTGCAAGTTCAGTAACCAGGCAAAACCTCAGGCTCCTCTGCTTTGAGTGTGCCCACCCTACAGCCTGACCACCTTTATGACTGGGGATATCAAGGATGACACACACTGTAAAGCTGGCTTGCTTTCCTGTTAGGAGACACTGGCATACATCATCCATTTATTTCCAGATGTAATCAAACATGAAGAAAGAACCATGGAATTCCAATAAAAAATAAAGCATCTTTAAATTCCCAGTCCTTAAGACTTACATTGCATCGGCTTTCCAGCTTTCCCCCTGACTCCTGGAATAGTCTTGCCATTCAAATCGACACAGAAGCAATTTGTTCCATAACACTGGAGTGGCAGAAAGTCTCCATCCTCAGTACAAGAGGGAATAAAGAGATCTGATCCCGCAGGGAGGCTTTGCTTCAGGTTCTTCAGGTTTCTCCTTTGCTTCTCACACTCAGTGGGACACCTTGGGCGTTTGCCTTGACGTCTTGAGCCTGGAACCTCCTTACCCAAAGAGTCCAAACACCAGCACTCTCCTGCATAGCACTGAACCTCCTCATACCTCCCCTCCTTGGTGCATGCTGGAACAAACAGGTCCCTTGGCTCCTCATCACAGCCTCTGGATCCCAGTGCTAGTTTCACCACTTCACCTAAATCTTCAGCAATGCTTTCGGGGACAGAAATTACTTGCTGAAGAAAAGTAAAGAACTGTGGTAGTTCCAGGAGAGAAGAAAGGAATTTCATCCTATTCTGATTGTCCTGCAGAGTTACTGTGCGGCCAAAGCTGCTCACAAGAGGTTTACTCAAAATGGAGCTCCCCTTTGATACCTCCAGTGAAAATGCCTCAGCTGATTCCAGAGGGCCTTGGCCATTACCCATCTCTGACAGATTTGCCTGTGGGAAAAACTGGCCAATGCTGTACTTCCCACTAGTGCCAAGCACCCCTGTGAAGTTAAACTGGATCAAATTCTTCAAGAATCTTCCTCCAAAGAGGTTTTCTTGGAAGCGCTTTGGATTGGCAGTAAATTGCAGTGCCACTCGAGCCAGCTCCCTCGATGGGAACATCCCTGTGATGGCTTCACTGAGGGTGGCTTCTAGCTCAGGAGTCTGGCTGGCAAACGGGCTTTGTGCAAGTGGGGATGACAATCCAGAGTCCAGAAACAGCTCCTTGAAAGAAGGAGGGCAGGGCCTTGAAAAGCCATCAGTTTTGTCTGACTGCTTATCTGGAGTGGAAAGCAAACTGGACTGACTGAAGTACCCAGCAGGGCCATAGAGGAGCCTCGACAAGGCCCGTCGCCGCTCGGAGATGCACGATTGCTCCTCACCTAGAGAAAGATTTAAAAAAGAAAAAAGTACATTTTGGAACCTCCAGAACCTGTAATTCTGTTGCTCACTTTCAAGCAGCTGGGGCAAAAAAAAGGAAAAATTAAGGTATAGATTCTCAACTGCTTCTCAATGATGCATCACGCACATTTTTAAGGAATTTGAAATGTTAGTTCCTATGGTCTACAAATAAAATTCTCCAGTCAAGACCCCAAACAAAAGGAAGCACTCCTTCCCCACTGCCAAGTTCTCTGCTCTGTGTCTGTTGCTTCCCAATGTAAATTCTCACCCCTGTTCTGAAAGAATGAAAAATGTCTTTCCAAATATTTTAGCATCTAGTAGGATGCCTGCTGCTAATAAAAAACTCCAATGATCCAGGTGAAATGTGGGAACCTAAGAAGGAGAAACAGATTGTGGAAGAACACAAAATTATTTTAAACAATATCGAACAATGAGAAATTTATGGAAGTTTCTTAACTAGATCTTCAGTTTCATAGTGAGGTGTTTATTGCAAGAGGTTTGAAAGTTAATTGTTAAAATTAGGAGTAATATAGTGCTAAGGACCAGATGGCATTAATGAATGAGCTCTAAGGGAAAAAAAAACCTACAGAATTTAAAAAAAAATAGTCAAATGTCGGCACATTGAGGGTGCCAGCAGTAGCCCTGGGCACCCATATCCTGGGCTGAGCTGTGTCCCAGGTGTAGCTGCATCCAGCCCCATCTGTGCACTGATACACAGGGAGCAACAGCTACAGGTTAGGATGCAACACATCAGTGAAGAAGGACAAAGCTTAGAGCTCAAAAGACAGCAAATAAGGAAAGACTTGGTAAATATAAAGACACCAAGAATCAGACAGACAGCATGGTTATGGCACTGACTGCATCTCTGGAATGCACACAGCAGCTTAACTCACATGCCACACAGTTACCTGTCCTTGGAAAGTAGAATTACAGAAAAGGGAGGCAAAAGTAGCAGAACTACAGAGAAGGGGAGACAAAAATATTTTGAGGACAGAACAACTTTTCCAGTACAAGAGAACATTCAGCCTGGACAAAAAAATATGAAAAAGGTCTTTTAGAAAACAGGATTCTCCACATCATTCACAATAGACAATTATTATTCAGTATTTCTCACAGTACAGAGAAGACCAGATGTACAGCACATAATTATGATAATGAAATTTATTGCCAGAGAGTGCTAGGAAGGATAAAAGGTTAGAGGGCAATTAGGCAAATCCCTAGAAGTTAACTCCATAGGGGAGGGCTGAACACAATGATCTGGACTCAGCCTCCAATCTGGGGTATCTCCCGGCTGCAGGAGGATATTTGGAAGTTATGTGCATTTTCCATGTTTCTCAGTCTTTCTTAGCACCACTGCTGTCCCTGTAGGGGACAAGATGGATAAGCAGCTTTAGTCTGCTCCAGCACCAGTTCCCTCGGGCTCCCCACTCCATCTCCATTTATTCCACAACTAAGCAATATGATAAAGCAGTCACAAATCCTGTTAACAATAAGGATAAATGCTGGAAACCTAAAAAGCTGCTAAAAATCTAAGCAAGTAATCTGATGTTCTGTTTTTGACATCTTTCTCACTCCTGCTTTTGCACCCTTGTCATGCTCTGCAGTTCCTGACAGGAGCTCAGGGCCCCTTCCCAGAAGTTCCTTTGTAAAAGAACTTTCTGTAGGATGGGCCCCTTCTGTTTTCAGTGTTGGCTCTTGGTGGTTGGAGGGATGAAGAACATTCCTTAGAGGGCCAATAAGTTAGTGTAAGCCACAATTCCACAAGAACAGTAATATGAAACAAATGTAGGATCACGGGTCATAAACACTCTCCCCTCCTACCCACTGTTGAATCAAATCAAAACAGAGGAAGAAAGAATAAACACCAAAGGCACTGCTGGCGTGAATCTACTGCAAAAAGTCTGAAAAGAAGCACATCCCTATCAGGACTGCCTGGTGCTCTGACTCCTCTAGTGTTAACACTGCTGAGTGTGAGAGCCAAAGACATTAAACAATCACAGAATGACTAAGTTTGGAAAAGACCTGTAAGGTTATTGAGTCTAATCATTAACCCAGCACTGCCAGGCCCACCAATAAACTGTGTCCCTAAGTACCACACCTACATGGGTTTTGAACAGAAAATAAAACAGAGGAGAACTGGAGACACACACACGGCATGTAGCTGTCTGAAGACTCCAGCCATAACCTCATACCTTCTCAGGAGTTAATCTGTGAAACCTCTGCAGAAATTTTTCCCTGCTTAAATTTCCTGAGTCTGCCAATAAAAGCTGCAAGCAGCCTGAAGTCATTGCCCCCGCCTCCTCTCTTCACCCCCTCCCAAAAAAGAAAATCATCAGGAGGGCTCAGCAAAGCATACTCAAAGAGAAAACAACCAGCTCCAACATATGGCAAGGCCTCTCAGAGGTTCCCTTGTAATATCCTTGGTGATCAGCCTTGAAGGCATGCTGAAGTTTTCATTTCACAGCAAGCCTGTGTGTGCCCAGAGCGCTCTGAGCACTTGGAGCTGTGACACCTAGGGCAGATTCCTCCTTTTTCAGCTGCATGGGAAGCTGAGTGTGTCTCACAGACACAGCAACTGCCTTCCCCCAGGGCAGCCCCCACATTAAGACCCTGTGCCCCAGCTCTCCAGCACAATCCTGAGTATTTAGGTAATGCACTTCAGAGCAAAGGTTTTTAACTTTCCTCCTCCCCTCCGGCCCCTGAACATTTCTGCTGTCATTTCCATTTGGGGCACTGATTTGACGGTGTATTCTCTGTGGAATCTCTCAAAGCCCTAACCTACACACCTTTTCTGAATTGCTTGTTGGGTGTTTTTTTGCAGGATTTGGCAGTTTTCATGGCAAAACATACAGTGACAGAGTTGGAAAAAAACCAGTCAGAATGGGAGATGAGATTCCACAGTATTTTACCAAAAGAAGGAGGTAAAACACAAAATCACCATCACTTGCTTCCCTATATTACACCAGATATTCTCACTTAACACACCAGTTCCTGGAGTCAATAGCCAGATACCAGAGCTGCAAAGAAAAGCCTTGCTGCATGCAAAACTAAAAGGCTAAAGAAAGATCACAACATAATATAAAAGCAGTATGATATTTAATAATTTATAAGAACGTGACTCTTAACCATGGGAAGGTTTCAGGATCTTTGAACACCAAAGATCAGAGCCGAGAAAGGATCTGGTCTGCTCTGTTCCCTTCTAAAGACACTGAGAGATGTTTCCTTTGGCAAACCTCGCACGTACCACAGGCCGGGGGCTGCCCTCGCCTCCTTGTGCCCGGCACCTCTCGGCCGCGGGGGTCCGCGCACCAGCACTGTCCCCGCGGGTGGCACTGCAGGGCCGCGTAGGCCCCGCCGGCCGCGCAGGCCGGCACCACGGGCTGCTGGAAGCGCAGCGCTGCCGAGCGCTCGGCCTCGCACCTCGAGGGGCCTGCAGGGAAAACAGCAAGCGTCAAGCAGGGAAAGTCCAAAGTTTCACAGCTGTCGCATGTCCCGGCTGGATGGTGACAGGGGGTGCGACAGACCCCCTCTTTGAGCTCCGCTGAATTCCAGTTACCAGTGAACAACAAAACAAAAGGGCAGCACCACGGGCCCTGGGGTGGAAGTGGGGTAACTTTATTCGATAGTAAAACTCCCCCTCCCCAGCATTCCAGGACCCTGAACTGAGGGCAGACAATAGCATGGGGGGTGGTCTCAGGGGAGGATATAATCTTTAACTAATCAGGAAAACTAGGGTGAAAAACAAGGTGGGGAATACAATGTGTAAACCAATAAAGAATTTCAAGGGAGAACAGCTTCAGTAAACTAATGGGGTTTGGAAAAATACAAAACTGACAGGGAAGTTTCTAGGGGGAAAGCAGGTTCGGGGAGAGATTTAATGGAAGGAGGAGTAAGGAAGGTTCTGGGGAAAGGGTAAGGACAAAAGGGGCTAACACCTGGAAAGGGAAGGGGGTTTAAAACTTGGCATGGAGTAGCTAGGAGTTTAAAACTTGGCATGGAGTTAAGCTAGTAGCTTAACTAAACTAAATAACAATGAGGGAGCAAGTCTAGTTTTAGAAATATAAGATACAAAATGGGAAAGCTGTGCCACTTTAAAGGTAGAAAAAGGACAGCATAACGAAATTACAAAATTACAAATCAAACAGTAAGCATACTGATAAAACTAAAAAAAACCCACACTGCTACACAGAGCCACCTCTGTTTGATCCCATTGTTTGCCTGTTTGGGAGAAAAAACAAAATAGGAAAAAGAATTTAACTTCCTGATCACTTCCAGTGATGCATCAAGTACTAGCTCAAAATGCGAATTCCCCATCCTCTTTTCCCATGAAGAATTTGCCCCACAGTTTTCTACTGTAGCTATTAATTTCTGAAAACTAAACAGAAGATAAAGCCTCAACACATTTTTTGGCCATAGTTGCAAGTAGGTAGAGCAGGAATATTTCTCCCAGGGAACCATGCTGGAGGCTAGGGGAGCTCTAGCCCTTAGTGCAAAAGCAAAGTTGGTCAACAGAAACAGATGGACAGCTTAGGGAACTGATTTGAAGGCAAACATCAGTGTTTCTGAAGAGAATGAGGCATTACCTCTGCAAACAGATCTGCACCTGACTGTGGAAATTTGGGCTGAGAATTTCTCTATTTGTCCCAATTTCTCCATTTCCCTCTGCAGGGATATGAAGACCCTATTCCTGTCAAACTGGCCTTAAAGGCAGAGAGGGCAAAAATCCAGCAAGTAAATTTTCTGGGGTGTGATCTTTCTAATACAAGACTTCACCCTCTGAACAGAAATTTTGCTTGTTTCTATTAACCTGCAATCCTACAGCATAAAAACTTCTCGCCTTCAAGAACTTTCCAGCTATACCCAGCTACCTGAGTGAGGCAGCGAGAACACCATGTCGGAGCAACCTGTTCATCCAGGGGACTCTGACAGCTTCCCCAATTTGAGTGGATTCAGGTGACAGTGTGAGAGCTTCCTAAGTCACCAGAGCACCCGCCTCGGTGGCTGATGAACAAGGTCACATCTCCATCTTGTGGCTGGTACAGCTTCATCTGTGCTGACAGCTGCTGCAGCCCCAGCTACAGCCAGAACCACTGTGCAGAGCAGAGGAAAGATGCCTTCAAATCTCCCCAGAAGGATCAGCTTTATCCCAAAGCCAGAAAAACTGTGTGACTATATGGCCAAAAGACTGACACCAGTATCTGCTTAATATTTCTGGTGATGCAACTACTTAGCAAGAGTCAGAAAGCAATGCCAGAGGAGTTTGGGACTTTGGATGAGAGGATGAAGTATCACACGGGAGATTCAAACTCTCCCCAGCCAAGGCAGTTTGCTTTGGGCTCTGGTCTAGGAGGGAGGAGTTACCTGACCTCATGTCCTGCAGAGTTCGTTGCCTGTAGGTGGAGAAACTCTTTCCCCACATGCCTGCCCTGACCTGGGAAGGAATGGGCCCAAGGGCAGATCCAAAAGTTCAGCCTTGCTGGCCAAGGCTCCACAAACTCTTGTGTGGCTTACTGGGAATGGAGTGTGTTGTGGTCAGTGTAAAATCCTTCCTGCTTCTGAGTGTTCCAACATAAATTAGGGAGCATTTTCTCAAGCTTTTAATTTAATAATCCACAAATCAATCTCCATAATCTCAGGGCAAGAGATATGGAGAGTTCATGGGATTTCAAGCAATAGGATCTGCAGGCATGTGGGAAAGCATTGATCAGAGGACAGGGACAATCTTCTTGTAAAGAATGTACAGTGCAGAGGATAAAACCCATCTACAATTCAGGGACCTTGATTCTTGCATTGGAACTGTGATATTATACGTTTTTAGAGCAAAAAAGTCCTAGAACAATTCTCCCCAACAGTAGCTGTCACATGAAAGTTCCAGAACTGCCACCTGATTTACAGGGCATCTCCTGGGCACTACTTACACCTGAACCTGCCCGAGGTGGCCAGCTGTACCCCCAGGAATCGCCTCTGCAGGATCCGATGGATGCTGCTCTCCGTGAACGTGCGGGCAGGCTCCGGCACCGAGAAAACCGTATCGTAAACTTCATCAAGCAGCAGCTCCAGGCCTGGGAAAGACAGACTTTTAGCACAGGGTCTGCTTTGAAGACAGAAGTCACCCTTACCCTGGAAGAGCAAATCTGGGAGATTCTCGGGAAAAATAAATCCAGTTCTCAAACAAATCAAATGTGAAGTTATACTGCATAACCCGAAGGCACCACACCCTGCACCCAGTGCTGGGTGCCCAGGCACCACGTTTATGCCTTGACATCTACCAAAACAAGCAGGAGAAACATCCCATACCTGGCTATAGGCTGTGGTTTTGTTAGGTTCAGCCTGCAGTACACAAATTTATTAAATTTTGGAAACAGATGTTACCAAAACCAACTACAAGTCATTTTGGTTGCGTACTAAAAACCAAGACATTTAATATTTAATAGTTTCTCCAAGTGCACAGATTTTTTGAGAACGTCTTTCTTTTCTGGGAATTAAATGTTGAAGTTCTTGTCTATCATCTAAATTTCAAGCTATTGTGCTTTGTATTTTTCCCCTTTAAAAAAAAAATTGAAAATTAAAACCACAGTATGTAAGGAAGGTCTGAAAATTCTCAACCTCATCATTCCTCCTTGCTGAAAAAAAGAACATTCTTTCTTCTAAAGCATCCTATCAACTATTAACATGCCTAAATCCTGAAGTTATGAGAGAAAAGGATGTCCCTGCCCATTGTAGACAGGTTGGACTAGATGTTCTTTAAAGGTCTTTTCCAACCCAAACAATTCTAGATTCTACCTAAGCAAGAAGAAAAGAGTTCATTCTTCAGGCCCTTTATATTCCCCTGGATTTGCTAATAGGACATATCAAATATGACACAGCTTCCTAGTGTGGGCAGAAAATGGACATTGAGAAATCCATTCCACATCCCAAAGAGGACAGGATTAGCTCCCAGGCACCAACTCCACTCGTTGCTGACTGAAGCTCTGCTCAAAAGGGTGGGATTGCATTAGTGAGCTCCAGCCCTTCCCATGGGCACCACACTGGTCACAGTGCTCTTACCCCTTGTAAGAGCGAAGGTGAACTTCCAAATGAATCTGAAGACTGGCAGTTGTTATTTGTCCATTCCCTTGGGAATCCAACACCCCCACAGATGAGAGGATGAGATGCTGGAAGGCACTCACCTGTGTCTGCTAACTCCCTCCCCAGGCTGTCCACGCAGTAACAGTACCCAGAGATCTCTGGGAACGCTTCCCTCACCGAGCTGAACTTTTGGAAAGCCTTTGGGAGCCTGGAATAAAAAGTAGCATGGTGTGAAGAGCCCAGGGAGGCCCATCAACCACAACAAAGAATCAGCTGTTTCCTTCCTGATTTTGTAGAAGGATGTCTGCAGAGCACAAGGCCAGTACAAAAGGCGTTGGTCTCCTTTTGGCAGCCAGGCTCTGACATGATCCAGAGTGTTGTTTCAGCAGGATAGCAACTCTCCTAAATGCCATTTTTCTAAACAAACAGTGGATAATCTCTCTTCAAACAGATTTCTGAGCCCTCCTAAGCGTATACCCAGCATCTAACTCACTTTCAATTCTGTTCTCATCTTCAGAAGCCTGTCAAAGAGTGTAAAATAGATGGGTGTTGGCTTAATGTTATTACAACAGTCATTCATTAGCTCCTTCCACAAATCTGCATGACATGGCAGAATGCCTAAAAAACCAGGTTGCTTCCTCTTCCTTACGTGCCACGTACAATTTCTGCACTGAATTAAGTACAAGAGCTGATAAAAACCTCGCTAATATCTTTCCTTTTCAAGGCATGGCTCAACAGATTAAGAAGAAGGAGAATAGGATTTTAACATGAAACAACACTGACTTTGGCTTCTGGAGATCAAAGAGATGGCTTCCAGCGTAATATTCTGGGAGTGACAACAGCCAGATTCCAGCAAAGCAATTATTTAAGAAAGAAACTTAATAGGGTCCAAAAAAAAACATTATGGAAAAACCATAATAAATGTGGTCTTAACTGACAGATGTCCTAGGGTTTCTCCCAGCAAAAGATAAGTTTCAATTTCTAGTTTCAAAGTGCCATGTTCTAAAACAATCATATTATTTTATGGACACATCCCCTTACTGAAATACTGTAAAGGTGTGGTGTCCCAGCTACATGTGGCTTATTTGGAAAAAAACCCAGCAACAAGAAAGTGGGATTTTCTGCTCAACACCTCCAGAGAGTTACACAAATTAGATTTTTACCAAGGATGGACACTCAGCAATAAGAATATTGGTGGGTTAGGCACTGATTAACTGGGGCAAAGCAGTTCACAGCATCCCTGTGAAACTGTGACCAGGCTCAATTCAGTGCCACACTCCAGCAGCCTCAGGAATGCTCTAGAATGTGTAGCCTGAGAACAGCAGAGAAATGCTTGTCTGGCTCAGAGCTGGTGCTCAACAGAGCAGAGCAAGGGGCCTTTGCCACCTCCAAGACTTTGCCTGAATCATAGAAGGGTTGGAAGGAACCTTGAAGACTATCTAGCCCCAACCCCCCTGCCATGGGCAGGGGATGCTTCCACTAGACCAAGTTGCTCAGGGTCCCATCCAGCCTTGGCCTCCAACACTCCTAAGGGTGGTGCACCCACATCTCCTGTAGGTAACCTGTGCCGGTGCCTCAGCACTCTCACAGGAAAGAATTTATTCCAAATATCTAAATCTAAACCTACCCTCTTTGAGTCCAAAGCCATTCCCCTTTATTCTAACACTACTGCATTTGTTAAAAGTCCTTCTCCACCTCTCTTGTAACCCCCTTTAGATATTGAAAGGTGCTGTAAAGTCCCTCAAGACCCTTCTCTTCTCCAGGCTGGACTCTCTCAGCCTCTCTTCATAGGAGAGGTCACTCCTGGGAGCTCCACCACCTCCTGTCAGGAGAGCTGAAGATGTTTCTGCTTCCATAGGACACCAAAGCACAGCCTTGGGAATGCACAAAGCAACAGCACCTCTGTCAGAGAAAGGAGCTGTAACCTCAGGGTTGTCCCAGTGTTTCCCAGCAGTGCTCCTGTCAGAATTTGTACATCCCTGTGTAGTGCTGCTTTGCTCTGGCACCTTTCCACATCATCAAATTAAAAGTCCACTGACTCCCTCCACTTTGGATTGTCAAATCCTGCTCCACTGCTGACACTAGCATGCTGAAAGAGATCAAAATGTCACACTTCATGGTACAAAGGGACTTCTGCCAGCATGAAAACAATACCATTAAAATATAAACACATAAATATTCCTATAGTGTTCAATGTGCACATGGGCATAAACAGCTTGGGGTATTTTAAGACCTTTCAGCTGCCCTGGATTATCATGCACTGTGCACTGCCCAGTCAGGAATATGATCTTTTTTCTGTGCTGCTCATGTCCTTGGAGCTCATCACCTCAGCATCTCAACCTCTATCTGAGTGAAAGAGGATTCAATGGAAAAACTCTGCATCCTCCTTTCTGCCCCATATAAAATAGTGTGTGTGACATTAAAAAGTCACACACACTATTTTATATGGGGCAGATGTGTAGTCACATCTCATCATTCTGGTTATTTTTGTTCCAAGTTGAGAGTAAAGCTAAATAAATTACAAACAGATATAAATTAGCCCACACAAACAAGAGGGCAAAACTTTTCTCACCTTATGTGGAAAACCCAATTCTCACCACATTTTTTATTTTCTTAGACTCTTTAACCACAGCCAAGATGAGTAGCATTAACGTAGAATTCCTCATTTTTCAGAGCCAGTCCCAACCAACTGTGACTACATTTAAGTTATGGATAAATTTCTAGTGTTTCTATATGTTTCAACAAGAATGCTCACACTCAAAAATACAGGAAAATAAATAAATGTGAAGTTGTTTGCCTTAAAAATATAAGTCTCTGCTCTTGGCTTCCACCAAAGACAACTCACTACTTACTATACAAGAAAGTAAAAACAAATTTGTCCTTGGCTTTTGATTTTTCGATAATTCCCACCAATCTGCTACAGGGATTTCCAAATTGCTCCCTATCCAGGCAGGACCTGCACACAGTCCATGCAGAAAAGGCAACAGCAGCCAAGCCCTCCAGGTGAGGCAGGAAATTTGGGCTCACCTTTCTTTTCAGAAGTCTTCTGTTTGGGAAAGTCTTAGCTCTAAACTTCTGAATTTCCCCATTTCTTTGTTTGGGGGAGGTAGTTTAACATACTGGCTTATTCTGGAATATTTATGAAGGTCTAGGGAAACTGTTTGGAAAGAGAGGTAGGATGATATATCTACATTTTAAAAATCAGTCTATGGAACCAAAGAAAGTTTCTCCACTAGTTCCATACGAATATAAAATATGGGTTAAATCCCTGTTCAGCTACAGTCCTTTGCTGTGGAACTCATCCCTTCAACTCCACATTCTGCCCTGATTTGGGGAAGGAATAATGACATTTCAGGCAGGAGTAGTGTGAAAATAAATATATTAATGACCTGAAATACTCAGATATGATGGCAATAGGTTAAGCCAATGCCATAATTAGAAGGTAGACAGCTGGGACTGAAATGATCCCGCTGTGATTAATTACATTACATGGACAGAAAATAAATCCAATCTTGCAGGTCTTTGCAAGCAAATCTCCCAGTGAGAGGAAAAAAATGTCAATTTAAAGCATTGATTTCTCCACTGTAGTTGCTTTTTAGCATTTCAACACCAACAAAAAAAAGAGCCAGATTATTTTGCTCTCACCAAAATAACCTCTCCTGAAGCTCTGACAAATTTTCACTGTGCATTCAGATCTTTCAGTTTTACTTAAATTTAAAAAAAAAAAAAAAAACAATCCTCCACACAGCAAAACTGACATTTACAATAAAACATCTTTGCTGCCACAGAGCCAAGTCACAATGAGATGCTATGTTTACTGCTCTGCCCTCCACCAGGGAAACTGGTGCTGGCTGAGGAGCCAAGTCAGTGGCACTTCACGAGACACTGAAGGGTTTCTCTGGAGAACCTGAACATCTGCACCAAAACAAACTCCTCTCCCATCAGCTCCCCTTGCCCGTCCCTGTGCCTCCATCACAGTATTAATTCCCAGCTCCTTCACAGGACAACTGCTTCCTGCCCCCACAGACAAGGATTTGATGTGGCGTTCTGAAGCATTCCCCAACCCTCTGCAACCACCTGAAGCCAGCTGTGCCCCAGCACAGCTGTTCATCATTTGCTGTTTCACCCATGTGAGCAGCCCTGGCACTTTGTGTGTTATCATTTTTCCATCTGCTCTCATCTCCCATATGGAATTGTCATTCCTACCTCATCTATACATCCAAATTCTTCTATTCCTTCTGCATTTATCTCATTTGCTGTTGTCTGTCTGTCTCAAAAGTAGCCCTGGCTACTTTTCCAACTACAGATCACAATGTGGTATCCAGTGCTGTGTGAGGACACACCAATTAGACTGCAGGAATGGAATATTTTAATTAATTTTTTTTTTAACCACCAGATTTAATTCAGAAGAAAAAGGTTTTTTCACTTGGTCCATTCTTTAACAGAAACATGTGCAGTTACAGAATAAGGGCTCCATGTAGCAAAAGTCACAAAAAAGCAGACAGATGGTGCCTTGAAGGGGTATTGCAGGATTGCATTCTTGATTCAGAAGGCTGAGCTCTTACCTGTTGTAACTATGAACAAGATCAAAAACACTCATGTCTGTTGTGTTGACAAACTTGCACTGGACAGGCAGAAACTCTCCATCTGCTGAGCACTGTGGTGGGCTCTTCTCTCCAAACCCGTGCAGGATGCGACGGTCTCGGATCTCACAGTTCCCTGGACCTAATGACAAAAGAGGCAATGTTTATTTGTGTATTAATTTCCCCCAAACAGCTGAATGGTCACCCTGTTTTTTAAAAGGGGATTACATTGAGCAGGGACACTGCAGTGCATCATTTTGTTTTTGTGAAGAGCAGGGAATTGGACTCAATAATCTTATCGGTCCCTATTCACACCAAGCCTTTCAAACCCACAAACCCCATCATTTTGTTGAATATCACTTACACTGTGCTGGCTTTCCTCTTTGTCTGGTGCCATAAATCTCCATTCCCTCTGGATCTACACACCAGCACTGCCCCAGCTCCGTGTCACACTGCACCTGGTCAAAAGCCCCTGAATCCAGGCACTGAGGGATGTAGGAGATGCTGCTGCCATTGATGTACCGGCTTACCAAGATCCTCTGCTTTTGCAACTGGCAAAAGGACAAGCCTGAAGTATCAGAGAGGGTACTGTTAGAGGAAGGTTCTTGTCAGACACTAAGTCCTTTATTGAGGAAACATCTGATTTTTCACAGAATTACAAGTTCTAAGTCTGCCACTCAGGTGGCATGAGGACATGGATGGATTTGAGGTTATGAAAATGGGTATAGAGAAGCCCACCACAGATGGGGTTGAAGATCTTCAACTCAAAAGCCATTACAATAAATCAATCTTTCATTCATAATTTGTCTTATTGGGACCTTCATAAATACAGACATCCAGGTGTATCAGGTTTCCATGATAAGCCTTGAAGAAATTCCAGAAATTCCAATAGAAAGACCTAGCAAAATACCACAAACTAGAATCCATTGAAGTCTGGGGCTAGCCCTTTCTTGATTTCAGCAGTTCAAATTCAGATTTAAATGGTTCTTTACTCAACCTGAGCAAAAATTGAAACTCTTTACTTACAAGATACAGGATATCCATTCTGTTTGCTGCCAGGAACCTCAACACCGTTCTCATCTACACACCAACAGGAAAGACCATCCCTACTGCACTGGACTGTCCTAAAGAAGACCACAAGTAACATTTCATTTTGTATGTGCAGAGTCCTCAGTCAGTACCAGACAAAACAAAAACAAAACAAAACAAAAAAACCTAAAAAACCAATAAAGCAAACCAAACTAGATCAAATGCTCCAAATTCACAAATAATCAAACTGGCAAGAGCTGCATTTCTGGTGACTCTGATCAGTGGAAACCCTGAATTCTAGTAATTCTCTGAACTCTTCAGGAATTGCAGATACGTGAATGGAAGTCATTGAGGAAGCAAGCACATTGGACAGAACCCTAATTCTCATTATCTGAGATTCACCAAACATTTTGAGACAGTTTCAAAGTCAAATCTAGAATGGTCACAGCTGCCACCAGAGGCAAAATAAAGATCATAGTAGAGAAATTACAATCTGTACTCAGCCTCAGCTTTAACTTGTTAGCTTCTTGCACCTTCAAGCAACATGCTGCTCTCTAAATCACCGTTCCCTGTGTGGTTTTCAGTTCCTTCAGTGCCTTTAGAAGGAAACCTGACTGTGCCACTGACCAGGGTGGATAAGTTCTCGGTCACTTGGCTGAGCTGTGCCAGCAGGCACACACATTCACCCATGAGCACGTGTAGGAAGACAGCAAACTGCACCACACTGCAAACTGCACCAAGTATTAGACATGCAAATAATGCTGCCAAGATTAGCCTGTTAACCTTAGGTAGACCTCTTAAGTCAGAGATTACTTCCCATAACAGGGAATTCATTTGGGAGAGGCTGGATCTGCAACATGGCTCAGTGAAGTCCCTTCAAGTCTCCTGCACCCCTCATTCTCCAGTTCACTGATACAGTGGCTCTTCAAGACAGGTTAAACTTTCATTAGCAATGAAGGGTCACATCATATGGCAGCACATTAACAGCAGGGATGAATTACCTGAACTGGCCATCCTCTGAGCACTGAGGAACGTAGGCTTCTCCTGCTGAAAAAGCCTCTTCCCTCTGAAGCTCACACGGACGCAACGGTTGGGAGTCGGTCTGATACTCTGAAAACAGCAAGGAGATGAACACCTAAGGGTGGTCTCACCACAAAGCCATTCTTACCAAAACCCTGTTAGTGCCAGGATGTGGCATTCATATTCTCTAGAAAAATCCCTATGCCCGGGATTTCTCCTAGGAAGCTGAGAAGCCTCAGAGAAAAAAGAAAGCAATTTTATCTCATTTGCTTCTCCTGTGTTTTGCTCCTTTGGAATGTGGTTGGAGATTGCTTATCCAACAGATTGTTTTGTTGGTTTCTGCTGTGAATTATTTTGACTCAATGGCCAACCAGTGCCAAGCTTTGTCGGGACTCTGGAGGAAATGACGAGTTTTCATTATCATTCTTTTTAGCCTTCTGTAAGTATCCTTTCTGTATTCTTTAGTATAGTTTAGTTTAATATTCTTGAATATAATATAGTGTCATAAAATAATAAATTAGCCTTCTGAGAACATGGAGTCAGATTCATGATTCCTTCCTTCATTGAGGCACCCTGCAAATACAATACCAGTGCTGCAGGGGAACAGGTTCGGGGTCCTCCCTGGCTGTTTTCCATTGCTCCCTGTATGCATTTCATGTGGGACAGCACAGGGAGGTACTGAACAAACCCACTGCTCTGCCAGCTGCAGGATGAGCACATGGTGGAGATGACCATGGAACTCTTTCCCAGGCCTGTGTTTAGTTAGTCTCAGCTCTGTTCTTTACTGGCCTGGCTGTAATTTTCTGGTACTTTGGGTTCTTTACTTAGTTGGGCCTATGACCACAAAAGAGCCCTTTGCATAACCACACACACCACTATTAAATTTTCTGAGTAATTCTCCTTTACTGAAACTAAGTCACTCACTATTTCACCAAAAGGAGAGGTGTTTTTTCTTAATCTCATAAAAGATTTAAAAATAATCAATTTCTAGCAGTAGCATCAGACTAATTCATATTAGGGGCAGTCTCAGTGGGGCAAATGATCAACTGCTGAAGCCACCTAGCAAATTTTTAATGCATTCAAAGCTGTATTTGCTGCTGTTTTAGATGTAGAATGTAAAGTGATGAAATTCAATAAGTTCCTTTTTATAAAGCAGATTAGTTGATCTGACACTTTCCTCATCCTTTAAAATCTGATGAATGTCATGCTCTTAATACCATGGATTAGTTTATAAAAATACAGCAAACAAACCCACAGCAATTTAGTCCAAATGTTTGCTTAAGCCAGTATTTGGTCTGAGTGATCACACACTGTAGTGCAAATACATCATAAGTATTCTGAATGCTTTTCAGCCTGAAATAATTTGCAACTTATGGAACTTGTGCAGCTTCTACAGCTGCAGACTGTTCCTGTGCTCCCAATGCTTCTCAATCACATTTGTTTCTTGAATTTTTACTGTGTCCCCTTAAGACCATGTGAAAATTTTCATGAGATTGCAAAATTTCAGGTGATCTCATCTATAGACAATGTCACATAGGCAAGGCTCCCCCTCTTCACCTCAAACATCAGCTGCTCTAGGATGTGTGGAGATCCCTTTGTGCAGTGCTAGAGAGGGTCTACCAAGACATCTGAGTTAAATGACTAATTAATTCAGTGATCCAAATCACTGGTTGTGCAGGGCTATCAAACTCAGGGCAAAGAACCGGGGGAAGCACTCAGATTCCAATATCTTTATTCAAGCCTAAATCAGATGATGGCACCTACAAGTAGATGTGATTGAGGAACTCTACAACCCTGCAGCAGCACCTTTTCTTACCTGTGTTCCTTCTCTAGCCCTCTTGAGAAAACTTTTTTTCCCACCTAAAATTCAGATGTACAAACTCAGGTAAGCCTGACCACTTAAAGAACCTGATAGTTCAGTATTCAGCCAGGAGCCCAGCCTTAGTTTGCACAAAACACAATAACCTGCTAAATTTTCAGAGTGCAAAATTCAAGATCATAATATACTTCATCAGGACAACACACAGAGCAGCACAAAGATCAGTCACCCTTGGACACAGGCAGAGGAAAAGGACAAGTGTACTTACCAAATATATTGGCTGTTGCTATGCTAATAAAGCAACAGAGGGTGCAAAATGGGATGGAGCCCATCCTGCAATGGGAGAGCCCCATCCCCTTCTGTCCCTGAGGCAGCTCTGTGCACCCCACAGAGCCTTTGCTGCCCTTTTATAGCACCCATCATGGGGATGGGTTCACTTCAGTGCCGCTGGCTGGGCACAGAATTGGGTGAGTGACGCACACGATGCTTCTGAGCAATCTGCAAGAGGCTCCTTCAGCTGGAACTGCCCTCCTGGCTCCCCCCAGCCAGCTCTCATCCCCGCCCCAGGGAGCACAGCTGAGCCAAGGGGCAGCAGCCACAGCGGGTGGCAGGGGCTCAGTTATTCCAACAAGTAAATTGAGGATATTGGTGTGACCCTGGGCAGAGCCCTGGCTCTCACCTGCCCCAGGGTGCAGCCAGGCTCTGTGCTCCCTAGTGGAATTGTACATTTCTGTATTCCCAGAGAACTGAGGGACAGACCAGAGTGAGACCTCTGCGTGCTGCACATTAGGACTGAATATCAACTCATAATGTGTTTTTTTACTAACTGAAAAACAGGATGGATGCACTCACTGGCTAAGTGAATTGAGGATCAGAGTCAATTACATTCTGCCTTTTGTTTTCACTCCCACTTGCACCATGCACTTTAACACAGCCAAGTATCTGACAGGCACAGCTTCACTCTTGGGCATCATCCTCCAGCTGTAAGATCAGTATGACCATGAAGCTTCTTAAGTTAAGTTTGGTATTAATTACATGCAAGATCCTCAACATAAAACACATGAGAAATATTTCCTTGGTTCCAGAATTTAATTTGTTAATTACACACCTCTTGTAACTGTGAGTCAGCATTTACTCGCACCAGGAATTATGAGAACTCACCCTCACTTGTAACAAAGGTGATTGTGTAAAAAAGCCCTAAATCATTACTTAAATAATAACAGCACATGTTTGAAGCTGGATTTAACTTGATTTCAAGAAAAAGTGAGAGCAGCACTTTTGTGATTCATGGGTACTAGACAGCCTACAAACAACTCTGCTGATTCTCTCCCACAGACTAAGATCACGACAGCAGTGATCCGAGCATCCATCTGTGCTGGCTGTAGACCACTGCCATGCCATGGCGCTTGATGGATATGGCAAATATGATCTCCAAGAGCAGCACAAGCTTGCTTTAGCATGACTAGGCTTTTAAAAATGAGTTGTACTGTATTTGCTCAAGTCCAGAATAGGTTGCTTGAATGTAAATTCTAAAGTCAACAGTCTACAGAAAGACCAAGCTGGGAAAAAATGAAAAACATGTCCAGCATAGATGACAGACCAAAAAAGGCAACACTTAGAGACAAATTCTGTAAGAGCCCTGATCCAGTAGGCATAGAAAGAAACTGAATTTCTGGATTAGCACAGCATTTGTAGGGAAACATCCATGAAGAGTGAAAGAATCAGATTAAATAACCAGTACTAACACCAGCATGGCTAAATCAGAAAAGAAGAAAAGTTTGACCATAACATGTGTTTCTGACCCAAGGGTGCTTCAAGAGCCTCAGGTGTGTGTCTGAGCCCCACACAGTGGGGCAGACACAGGAGAGTAGCAAGAGAGAGCCACAGTGCCACGCACAGGCTCTGCAGGGGCAGCAGCTTGGTGCTGGCAGGTCCTGTGATGCGTCCAAGCCAGTGACAAATCTCCAGAGTGTGTTGGGGGTCTGTGTGTGATACTGATTTAGTCCAATTTTCTAAAGTTGTTAGAAAAGTGTCATTCAGGTTCCTTGCACAGCAAATGGGGAGAGGAGCTTATTGAGGTCGCTACTCACGTTCCTTCTTTCTTTGCTATAAAAGGCTGGTAATGGAGGAAAGCAGACAGGAAAGCACGAAGTATCAAAGGGCTATTATTATCAGAAAGAAGCACAAACTCGCAATATCTGTGTTTTGCTGATTCCTAAGATGATGTTTATTTCCTTTAGAAACACTCAAAAAACAACCTATGAACTACTCAAGCTGGGAAGAACAGCCAAGTCTCAAAAGTCTCTTAAAAAACTGAGTGAGAAAAGGAATCTTGGCAATTGGCATCACTCAAACCACTTCTAGATGTGCGTCAAACCAAGGTGGTCATCTTGGTACGTGAACATTCAAGGGGATGCAAGAGCCCATGGATTAAAAATAAAAAAAAAGTTGTTTATGAAGCAATGTGTGGAATTCACATTCATCTGAGAAAAAGGGGCACTTGTCTACCTATGGCTGATCAAATACAAAGTAAGAAAAGCCTTGCATAACCTCCAGTGAAAGGGCAGTGGTATTGACCTCTATTTTTAGCACCTGAGAAAAGATGGAGTAACATCTTAAATTAGCTCACCAATGAAGAGCAGAAAAAGAGTAAGTGGAAAAGGTCCCTGTGACCAATACGGCCTTACAACTATCATGTCTTCAAAATCATTGCTCCAGTGCTGGAAATAAGGGTTTTGTTTGGTTGTACCTACTGGCAAAAGCAATCTGTACCACAAACTACAACTGCTGGGGCAAAGATAAAAGTCAGTGAGATGAGACACTGAAATCACAAACCTCGAAGAAGAAGACATTTATTCATTGTTCCAGTTTTGCATACACTTTCTCAGCAGAAGAGACAGTTTGTGCAACTGCAATTTTACATATTGAAAGGCCCAGGGATAAAAGATTAATGTATATAAATACACAGACATCTGTACCCACAGAAAAGTACTCTTACCTCAATAAAATTGGAGCTTGAAAAGTCAACCTTAGCTTAAAAAAAGAACTGGAGTGAGCTTCCCAAATGAGGCAGCAAATTGGAAGCAAAAGAGTTAAGAAAACATTGTGAAATTACGCTTACATCAACCAGTCAATTCATTTCAAACAACAAATTGTTTTTCTGTGTTAATAAAGCACCAATGTTGGACAATCCTCTCACACATTTTAAGAAAGCTACTTAAAAAAAGGTTAACACCATTTGTTACACTTAGATAGAGAACTAAGGTTTACATTCAGCACATTTCTTTCCAAGACATTGTGAAGCACTTATCTGTATCATCTCTGATTAAGACCTCATGCAAAATTAAAGGACGACAAGATGACAGCCCCAGATAATGCACTTTTCAGTGTATTCACTTTATATGTGACATAGTCTTCAAATTTAAAGAACAATAGGGAAGTTTCAGTCATTCCCATGCTAAACTTACCTAGATCAGAAAAAGTGGGCACAGGATTTGTCAAGTCTTAAATTATAACTTACCATTTGGAAAAGTGCCTTTGGTGATAGAAGAACCTAAAGAAGCCCATGTAAGAATATCTGAATTTGCATTTGTCCTTGCAGGAATTGACCATTTCTAGGAAAAATAAAATGCCTTTTCTTTTTCTTATTTATTTATTGAAAATAACAGTTTTCCTCTATCCAACAGTACCACAGTGATTCCAGGTAGAAAAACAGGTGTTTTATTCTCACAACACCAGGGATGCAGATTGGTTTGAAAACCCAAGCAGGAGACAGGGCTGCAACCACAGCGACACACAGGACTTGCAACTTGAATCAATTCAATATTTGACAA